GTTTTGAGGGGAAAGGGCAAGGGACACCCCTTCCCCTCCTCCCGCCTCCCCCCCTTAGCCCGGCCAACCCCCCCCCCAACTTTCCTTCAAGTCTGCGGCCGCTCCAACGGGCATCTGATGCAACAGCCCGAGCGAGTTGCAAGAGGAGAAAAAACTCGCGCCTTGTTTCGACCGCGCAAGCCTCTCTCCCCGCGCCGTCCCTTTCTGAACAATGCACTCACGTTCTGCCTTTCTTGGGGGAGAATCGGAGCCTTAGAGATGTTCTTCTCCGAAGAGAGAAGTGAAGTGGCCCGCAGCGAAGGTGCTGGGGATAGAGGGGGCAGCTCTCCCCGCGCGCACAAACATATACACGGAGAGCAACATAGACACACGCACAGACAGACAGGCGAGTGCGTGCCAGCCTCTCAGCCAATCACACCCCGAGGAAGTAGACTTCAGAAGAATGCGGGCTAGGGGCCCACGTGGGAACGGGAGCAGGTGAGGCACGGGCTCCCTCTTTCTTTCTCTCAATCCATCGGAAGCTTCGGCGGTCTTCTGCGGATTCCAGAGCCTAGGAAAATTCCAGCGGACTGAAAAACCTGTGCGAAAGATTCCGTGGTCGGGTTTCATCGTCTGGTTGCTACCAAAGTGTAATGCACCCCCGCACATGAATGTAGCATGCCTTCTGGGGGCTGCAGTTGGGCCTGGTTGGCACACAAGTGTGCAGAGCTTTATTTCTTTGCAATTGATTGTACTCGCCAATGGTTCAGACGTGCGTTTCCTGTCACTTGATGTCAGCACCTGCTGTGTTAATGAGACACTACAGATCTAGTAGTCTGTAAACTCAACATCAGCTTATGCCACCACCATGCTTTTCTACGGATGCAGTAATTTGCAGTGAGTGTCCAGAATGCAGCAAATAAGTTGCAAAGTCAAGAGCTATTTGCGTAGAGTGAACCAGTTGTTATTACAGTTAAATATGTAAACCAGCTCTTTGGCAAATAATTTTGAAAGGTTATATGAAAATTTGCATGCAGCATTTGCAGCATATGAGATGACTCATTTTTACATGAAGATCATTATTAGATGTTGCACCAACATCAACATAGGGGCAATGGTCTGTGATGTTTTCTCTGTATGGGTAAAAACAAAAATTCATATACAGACACGTGAAGATCATGCATAATTTTGCTGTGTACCATGTACACAGCATCTTTCAAAGATCACTGGCTGCCAATTTCTTGCATGTAATAAAACAGACATTATGAAAAGTGCACGAATGATTGTATGGCAGTGATCTTTAAAAAGCAGAGAAGATGCTACTGTCCCACAGAACTGAAGCTCCCAGGAGATGACAAACACAGGATACAAAATAAGTATTCAAATAAATTAACAGAGAAAGTCAATCCACTTTGTGCAACATATATCAAAGTCTAAGCTACAGGACAGATAGTAACAATAAGAGGTTTTGACCACTTCATCGTATTCTCCCACCCCACTCTACCCCACCCCACTCCACCCCAGAATTTTCATTCATTCCCTTCCAGTCCAGCTAGCTAATCAACATAACCCCCTGTGCCTCCTCCTGTATAGTTGGCAGAAATAAAAGAAATGATTGTAGCACAAAATCACAAGATGGCCCTCTGAAAAACCTGATTATTGCTTTGATTCCTGCCAAATTACAAAGAGGGCTGGAATGCCTTCCTTTAATTCAATGAAGACCAAGCTTGCAGCTGATGGGTCACTGGGCCCATTTCCAACTGCATGCAAAATGTTTATTGGGAACCAGTTAATCTCTCAGAATATTCCAAATATCAGGAAGCTATTTCAGAAAACTATTTCAGCTATTTCAGGAGCCAGAGCAAGATTTTAGGGCATCAGGAGATTCACAGTAGAGGTTAATGATCGCACAGTTGTCTAAAACAGCATTTCTCAGCCTCAGCAACTTTAAGATGTGTGGACTTCAGCTCCCAGAATCCCCCAGCCAGCACATCCACACATTTTAAAGTTGTTGAGGCTGAGAAACACTGGTCTAAAAAATGTGCATTAACAATGATGTAGAAGAAGAATCTCATATTGTTTCTGATGTTACACCATTTTGATGGTCAATTCAGATCAATCATTCTCTTCCCAGTTAGGCTGCTTGGAATAACTCCCACTCCCAATTTCCTACAAATTGCCCTGTAAGAAACTGCAATTTTACTGCTTCCTGAGCCAGACCTACCATTAGGCACCAGAAGGAGATTATCACTGCAGGCAGTGAGTACTGGAGGGAGGAGAGGCAGCAGGGACACCCTCTTTGCTGCTCCTCCTGGACTCCCCAGCTACTTCCTTCTATCGTTGGACAAAGTTCTGTAGCTTCCCCACCTTTCCTAGACTTTCTCCTAGCCTCCTGGCTGTGTATGACCTAGGATATGACTCCATGCCTCTTGCTGGTTCAGTTCCATCCATTTCTGCAGATGGCCTGGGAAGAAGCAGCATCTTGTCCTTTGCTTCAGACAACAAAAGATCTTGGGCTGAGCCTGCTAGGACTAGAATTGCAACAAGGATGGTCAAGAGTTTTGCTCAAAGTGGGCAATTTGGTGCAACCGGTTTCTTTCTCTGGTGTTTATACTGTATGCCAGCCTGTATATAAATCCAGAATCTCTATGGCTGTATAAGGACCTGTTTCTCGGCTCAGCTTTAGCCAAGTCTCAGAAGAAACCTGCTTTGAATTTCCATTTTCCTCCAGGCACAGGCCTTTAAACAGGCTGGTGCCTGACACTGGTAACAGTTATGCTGCCTCACCAATTAGGCATAATTATAAATGATTGGTTAAAGCAGCTTGGGATTCCAGAGGGTGAAGAATTATTACCAAAGGGGCTTGAATGTCAGGTGCTGTCAAAAAGTTCTGGCCAGCTGTACCCATCCTGTGCCATTTCCTTTCCAGGCCAGACAGTCTAACACAGGCAGATCTAATGCCACGGAGAAGTTGTCAACTGTGATCTCTGGTCATGCGATACAGTTAACCCCATCATCTCTTTGCAACATTTAATGCTCAGGGAAGGCTGCGCATGATAAGGCTGGGTGCTTCATGCACTGATGGCTAGAACTGTCTGAATGCTGCATTTCAAAACTTGTCACCATGAGCACCTGAATTTTGCAGGGAAACACATTATGCAAACATTGCTTCTATTGGTTAACTACTTTGCATAATTTATTCTGCTTTTGCCCTCATGGAAAGAACATAGTGTTGCGCAAGGTGATGAAACCCTGCCCTCAGTAGCTGTACTGATCACCACCACCACCACCACCACCACTTTTTTTTTTTTTTTTTTACTGGCCTCTGAAATACTTGCATGACTTGCTTTCAGGAGAATCTTTGTATCACTAGGGGTAGAAACATGCTTAAAGATTTTAACTGAGGTAACAGTCCTGAACTTGGGATTTGAATGTTGGAAAAGATTAAAAAATGCATGCAAAAAGTTGGAAGTTTTGTTCAAAAGTATTACTGGGTAGCACCATTTCACCTTCATTTTCCTCCCATACCTCTCCTATGTCGTCTTTCACTATCCATCTTGTCCATTAACAACTACCTGGGAAAGCTGGCTTACAGAAGGTACATTGCCTGATTGTCAAGGATTTTCCCACTTGTCTCCATAGCAGCCTGATGCACTCAGAAGAGCTACAAACCACCTGAATAGTATTATCAGGGGCTGGCAAAGTTTGTTCCCAGTTTCATGTGGCTAGATTTGGTTCCAATGGAAGAAAGGGCAAGAGAACCTACTGAGCCACCAGAGTTTCTGCAAGGGGCCTTTCCCATTCCCAACATTGCTGGCCCCGTGTTGATACTTCAAATAATCAAGGAGAAAAACGGCCCGGGCTTAAGAGTTTCTGTTGCTTTGTTAACATGATTCCTGAAGGCCGCCCAACCGATTTACAGTCATTCAGTCATTTAGATGAACGTTTGGACAAGTAGAGACCTGAGTACATTTTTAGATGTATTTCGTTGCATGTAACTCTCTCCCTTCCCATTTCACTCCTTTGCACTTTCCCCCTTTGCTTCTGTTGATTATAATGCATTTTGTTTGATGTAATACACTATATTTGGTTTGGCCCTCATAGGTCTTTTAAGTTATACAGTAAATGCTGTCCTGTTCTGTTCATTCTTTCATTTAAGCAATACTTCTGCAACTGTTGTTAACTTGATTTCTTACTTTTGTGATGTGTATTAGATTTGGTGATCAGCTGGCAAAACTATTAACTGTTATTTCCCTATACATTTGCATCCAAACAGGGATAAATGATGAGTGAATTTTTAGTCTCCCTTCAAAGAACAACTTCCCTTTTTCCCAGAAATAACTTCCCAATATTGATGAGACCTCTCAATCGGAAGCCCATAAACAGGCAAGTCTTAAGCCCTTCCAGGAGCTGCTGAACTACAACTCCCAGCAGTCCTAGGAGTTGTATCTTGGTAAAATTGGGAGAAGGCCTCAAGATCTGCCATAAATACCAGGGATCTTTGATCATGACTGCACCCCGTCCTTCGACATCCACTAGAGATGCTATGTTCTGCTTGGACCTACTTAATGGTGAATTTTATCCTGTTGGCTTCTCTTGTCTATAATACTCTCCAACATTAAAATGATATATAAGTATGCTGAACTTTGGTAATGTCTGGAAGCTATTATTCCCTAATCCTAGGGTGCTGAGGGTGGGCTGGGATGATTCAAAGCGTTCTGTACATGGTCTGGGACACTCATTTTTACCATGCCTGCCTTTGTAGGCTGAAGCCTCAGTGCATTTCGTTTCTCTAGGCTCAACTCCTCTTATGCCCCACCTAGCAGACAGTTAATATTTGGCAAACCAAGGCTCACTTTCTTTTTGCAGCTGCTGCCCACAGGGCCTTTCCCATGAAGGAGAGCATGGAGATAACAAAATCAGCCAACCTCAGACATGTTCTTACCCCGCAGCAGCTCCACTCCTACTTCCTCTCTTGCTGCCGCCGCGTATACAACCATTTCCTAATTCCAAATTCCAGGAGCTCCTGCCATCCACAGGAGATCAGGCCTCTCATTGTTCTGCCAAGGGCCTGACGGGGGCACAGGACCCTTCGGCTCTGCATGCATCAATGGCCTGATGCTGCTTCATCTTTCCACACTGCCCTTACAGGAAATCCTGATCCTGGAAGACACCATATGAGGAGCTTCCTTGGACAGATTCAAGTGCTCTTGGCTCAAGAGTGGCGTATGCAGGATCATGATCGAAATGGGCTTAGATTTACTAGGGCATGTGGAAAGAGAGAAGAATCTTAGAATTCCTCTGAGCATAGCCAGAGTGTATTTAATGACATTCGGGTACCGCAGTCCACCCTTACATCCTGCCCCAAAGCTTTCAGGCC